GTGTGCAGAGGGGAGCTGCTCACACATGACTTTGAAGATCACCACTATCACTGTTGTAGCGATGGATTGTACAGTGATTGTCAGCTTCCCCAGTGACACTTCAGGTATCATGAGATATTAATATATAAATAGTATAGTAATACCTATATTCCCAACAAAAAATGTAAAAAGTGGCCGGTGTGCTGGAAATATTTTACCAAACAACCTCAATACAAATAAAACTTATCAGGTCACATTCTTGTATAATATATATATATATTTTTTTTTGGGGGGGTGGGATTTTTTGTTGTGAATATAGGTATCACTGTGTAGCACACGTTTCAGGCTAGGTTCACATATGCGCTGGTGGTGCCGTTGTGGAACTGCACAAAAATCCATGCAGCCGCACCACCCGCACAGAAGACTGCAGACCCGCGGGCAGGTGCCATTAATTCTAATGGCATGCCTCCCGCACTTGAGATCACAACCATACTGGGAAAGTAGGTTCCCATGCGGGCTGCGTTTTCAGAAGAAGTGCAGGGACATCTTCCCTTTGTCTCCCGGGCACGGGAGTCCATTCAAATGAATGGGCTCTTTTGCCCATGCAAAACGCGGACCATGGGAATGTGGATATGTGAACCAGGGGTCAGTATATATTAAGGTATAACTAAAAGGCAAAACTTTTTTTTTTTGTATTATTTTTGGAGTCCCCCCATTAGGGAGATTCACCCTCTCTGGCCTGTTTACCATTATTAGTGAAAGTGTAAGAAAAAAAAAAAAAAACTAATTTTGGGCTGTCCTCAGAAAAGTAATAGGATGACATTTTTCAATGTGGTGCACTAGTTCTGGTGACCTGGGGGTGCCCAAGGAATTCTCTTAATTTGCAGAGATTTCCTCTCCCTTCCTGTTTTCACTATAGCACAGGAAGAAAAGATAAATCTCCCCAATGGAACATAGATGGCGGTTATAAGCCTCCCTTACTCTATCACAAATGGGCGAAAAAAAAAGTTTTTCCTATAGTTCTACTTTAACATTAGGTTGGTGTGGGAACAAATCCCCTCCCTCTTAGATTGTAAGCTCCAAGGATCAGGCCCTCCTATCCCTCTTGTACTGAACTGTATTGTTGCTGTATTGTCTCCCATTATATTGTAAAGCGCTGAGCAAACTGTTGGCGTTATATAAATCCTGTATAATAATAATAATATAAATCCTGTATAATAATAATAATAACTGTGCAAGCGGCAAGGTACTTGTGTGCACTATATACAGACTGCACAGAGGGTACTTTTTGTTTAACCCCTTTAGGCCGGCACCTCCTGGCCCTTTTAAGGTGTTTCTGATGCCGGGAAGCGGGGTGAGGTTTATGATCATGTGACCACCGTGGTTGGCTGTCACATGACCAGAAAGCTTCCAATCACAAACAGGTGATCGGGACCTTTTTAACGTTAGGCGATGGTAACTGTGCCAGGAGTGTGCATGGCGCGCGCTCTCGGCACAGCTTGTTTGCGAACCCTCAGCACCAAGGAGTTAACTATTAGGTATGATTTGGTTAATTTTGCCAAGCTGGACCAATGTAACTATGTATTCCAAAATAAAAATCCTTTTTTTTTAAATTACTCAATAAATTTATATTTGTTTTTTGTAGTTTGTTGATCTTATATGTAACATTATTATTGTTGTTGTTTGCCCTGTGTAAGAATCTGTAAGAAAACATTATACATTGTATCACCATAAACTACACAAAATTGACAGCTCCTGGTAGTTGTGTACAGCTGGAATCATTTCTTTTCATTTGTTGTATCTGTGAGTGAAATCGCAATATGATCCGGTATGTATGTCCATGAACAGAGACTGTCTGTAGCACAATAAGACTGTATTCTATTGGCAACCCCCCTCCTACCCGGGGTAAAACGGGGTCATACAGATAGGGTATGTGCTAGGGTTTGTTACCCCTTTCCATGCACGGGTGGAGGAAGCTTACAGGGTCAGGTTCAGGGGCGGACTGACCATTTGGAAACTCGGGCACTGCCCGAAGGCCCGGGGTCAGTAGGGGGACCCATGAGATGCCCCTGGTACCTTTTTCATAGACTTTCTTGAGTTTGGGCAAGGACACAGGGGCCCCATGATCCCCTATTGCCCGGGGGCCCCATGAGTTGTCAGTCCGCCCCTGGTCAGGTTAGTCATTTCATATTGGCATTTCAGTTATAGATAGATGCTGAATGACACATTGCGGGAGATTTACACAGAATCTGGTGCAGCTCTGCATAGAATCCAATCAGATTCCAGGTTTTATTTCCAAATCTTAAGGCCAGGCTCACGCCTATGCAGGTTGCGTTCGAGCCGTTTCTGCATTGCATTTTGCATTTTTGCACTGTTTTTTTTTTTTTTTCTATCCATTTTTCTTGTTGCTAGGCAGATTTAAAGTGGTAAAAACACGACATACTTTTCTGCAGCATTTTCATTTAAGTCTACAGAACCAAAAACAGAACTTTTTGCGGTAAAGTTCCCGACCCTTTCCAAAAAATGCACCGGGTGAAAGTGCTTTTCGCAGTTCGTTTTGCGTTTTTCTACACACGTTTTTGATGTGTCTATGATGCGTTTTTACTGCGTTTTGTTCAGCTTTTTTTTTTTTTGGAATTGTTTTGTTGCGCACAATAAAAATGCAAAATGCGGCAAAAACACAATACTATGCATTTGAGAAGATTCTCCATTAAACTTTATTATAGCAAAAATGCTGCTTTTTAATTTTAAAAAAATCCCTGACCCTTTCCAAAAATGCAGCAGCTCAAAAAAGCATAGATGTGAACATATCCAATAGGAAATCATGTTAAGTTGACTGTACTGCGTTTCTGCAAAATGCTTAGGTGTGAACCTGGGGTAACTGAACAAGCTGAAGTTATTAGCTGATTGACTACAATGCACAGCTGCACCAGATCTTGCACGCTCCAGTTTTAGTAAATCTCCATTGACTCTCTCATATGCCTCATTTTCAGTTTTTTTTTTATTATTGGTAATGATTTGTCCTTTTTTAGTATAGCCTTTCTTTATTTTATTTTTAAAAATACTTAAAAAAAAAAAATGACTCCAGAAACCACATAGGATCGTGTACTCCATGAGGGTAAGGCAAAAAACATTGCACAGGCTCAATGCTCACCCACCAAATCTGGTTCCTATTGTTTGATCGGATTGAGAATGCTGATTCTTGCCAAGAAACCTCATTGCGCACAATTCCCCAATAATTTTGATTAAAAAAAATGCATTGTAATGGAAATCTTGCAGTTGTTCTCAGGTCTACAATCTTTTTTTTTTTTTCTCTTTTTTTCTATAGGGAGACTTAACTGTTTGGTGATGGTATCCTCATTTTCCGCAGTCACACATTACACTGCTTATGAGATGATGGGCAACAAGTGGTTAAATAGATTTAAATAGACTCCATGTTAATTTCTCACTCCTTTTGTTTGCAGCATCTCCATTTTCTTATACTCTTCAAGATGTAACATAAGCTAGAAAAATCCAACAGTAAAAGTGAGACTTCCTTAACTGCTCCTGTGCTGAGATGTCACTGGACTAAGGCCATTGGGGGGTTCCTGCCAGTATTGGTAAATGACCAAAATATAGTTGGGCAAATGTTGCTTCCCCCAAGCAAGGAAAGGGTTAAATGGCTTTTATATAAGCATCTTCAGTAGCTGGCTGTGGAACAATACTACCCAACATTCCCTGTCCATAATGGCTTGTTAGAACATCTGGGAATTGTAGTTCCACAGCTGTTAAACAAAGACAATGTCATATATGTGGTTGCTGATACAGGCAAGACCATCTGGGACTTGTAATTTATAACTGCTTTTTTTTCTTTTTTTTTTTTCAAGTTTAATTGGAATGCTGGGTCATATAGTTCCATAACCTGGGGGAAAAAAAAAAAAAAAACATTCATTAGTATGGTCCCTAGGGCAGGACTGAAATGTGTAGTCCCACAAGCTCAGCAGCACTTTGGATAGTGATGGCCTAAGATGACAAGAACCACAAATGCCAGCATGCAAACAGACTGGAATTCAAAAGATTTTGAAGCATTTATTAAAAGGAAAAAAAAAACATAATTACAATTCAAATCCTACATAACACTGTGCCAGATGCCACGTATAATTAACCCTTTCCTAGCCAGTAGGATCCCACCCCTAGTGTCTGGCACAAGCTCTGTACTATCCAGGCATTGAATATCTGAAAGGATCCCACCAGAACAGAAATACTAGACTTATATTTAAAGGCTCCAGCAGCTGGGCTGTCATGTTTATCCTGTCTTGACTACCTGGTCAGTCACTGATCAAGAGCATGCATGCAGCTACTGCATGTGGCCCCCAAGTTTCAGGATAGGTCGGCGACTAGGTAAGTTAGTAAAACCAAGATGAGACTGACAGCCCTGCCAAGTGGGCTTTAAAAAACAAGTCGGCAATGGAAGCCTGTATAATTTGTATCCCTTTGAATTCCTGTTTAATATAAACATATTATCCCTTGTGCAATGTGCACAACTTGAGGTAGACCTTTTATGTCACTAGATCAATAAATTACAATACAATAAAATTATAATTTTAGCAAAAAAAGCCATGTTCAGCTGTTTTTAACCCCATGTAGAACAAGAGAATGCAGACCTAACCCTTTCAGAGCCAGAGGGCGGTTTTGCTGTCCTGACATTCAAATGGGAGCAATAAGTGCAATTGGAAGGACAATCCAGGTAGGTCGCATTACCTGAAGAGTACTATATACCATGAATGGAACCTTGCTTCATTATACTATGCTGTCTGTTGGGTGCAGTTTCTACATCGGGGTTTCATTTTGGGTTTTCCCCAATTTTGAGTTCCATTGAATTGTTTTTTTATATCCCTGAGCTTTCCATAGTCTGTGTTCAACTGACCTCCCTGTAGGGTCAAATCCCCATACAGCACCTTCGTACCTGACAGCTTACTAGTGCATAGTCCATTTGCAGTGGTATTTGCTCCTTATAACCATACTGGTGCCCATTGCTGTTGCTAGGCTGGCTCCAGAGACTCCTGGTTCCCATTATATTCAGACCATATCCCCAAAGCATTGGTAATGTCCATGGAATTGGAAAACCCACCAGATTGTCGGGACAAATCCCCTGTGGCATGTAACCTTCTATCTGCCTTCCTAGGGCAACACAGGAGCCTCTTAAAGGCTTTCCTGAAATCCGGGCTCCTGCAGTAGATAATGGGATTAAAAATAGAGTTGACATATCCCAACCAGTTCAAAAACAAGAAGAGTTTGTCAGGGATGAGGTTCCTGTAAAACACATTAACTATATTGGCCAGGAAGAAGGGTAGCCAGCACAGGGTGAAGGTACCCATGATGATGCCCAGAGTCTTCAAGGCTTTGTGCTCCTTGGCCACCAACAATTTGGAAAGCCTTCTCCTGCTCGACCTGGCATGGTGCAGAGCCTGGTTGAGGTGGAAACGACCTTCACACTTGTCTATCTTCTTCATCTGCAATTTAGCCTCCTTGAAAACACGAAAGTAAACAAATATCATGACCACCAAAGGGACATAGAAGGAAATAATGGAAGAGGCAATGGCATATGCTCGGTTGGTTACAAAGTCACAGCAGCCAGGGTCTTCATAGCAGCTCAAGGCCTCTGGGTCATCAGTATCCCTCCACCAGTGCATCATGATGGGTAGGAAGGACACCAGGGCAGAAATTGCCCATACTGTGCAGACAATGCCCTTTGCCCTGGCCTTGGTGAGAAGGCTCTGGTAGCGGAAGGGTGAAGTAATGGCAATATACCTGTCTATGGCAATGACACAAAGCGTCTCAATGCTGGCAGTCACACACAAGACATCCACTGAGGTCCAGAACTCACAGAAGATAGAGCCATACAGCCAGGTGCCACTCACCACGAGGGTGGCCCCCAGGGGCACCACAAACAAGCCCATGATGAGGTCTGCACAGGCCAGGGAGGTGATGAAGACATTGGTTAGTGTTTGCAGACGCTGGTTCTTTCCTATGGCCACAATGACCATGATATTGCCCATTAGAATGAGCAGGATGATGATGGACATCAACATGGCCATACCAACTGTCCACTGCTGGGACATCACTGGAAGCAGCTGCATAGGGCTTGGCACTGTTGGGTGTAGGCTACTCCGATTCTTGCAGTCAGGGGACACCCAGCCATCTCCCATTGTAACAGCAGAACTTGAGGAATCAGCTTAAGAAGGGGGGCTGGTGGACCATTTTAGCGCAGTGATGAGCAGCAGCGTAATTTTAAAACAGGCTCCTGGGTCCAAAATGGTGGAAACTGTTGTGCACCACCTGGGATTGTTGTTCTCAGGACCTTTTGGATAGGCCACTCTCTGCCCAGAGCTAGTGGTACTCCATACACAGAAGTTCTGCACACAGATGACAGTACAATATCCACAACTCTGGCACTCTACACTGTGTCCAGTACTGTTAATATTTCTCCAGGCATTGATTGGTAGAACAGTACCGGTGGCTATAGAATCCCCGTACTCCGCAGAGGTGGGAGCATCAAGTTTGGATCTCCTGTAGCTTGCTCTAGTTCTGGTGTCAGCAGGTGAAGAACCCGTGTATGGGGTAGAACACCTACGCCTGGAACTGTCTGTGACAAGTGCACAGATTTCAGCTCTTGTGTTGGCTGATGCACAACTAGTACCAGCAGAGGATGCACAGACAACAGTACCTTCAGAGCTGCTGTTAGCAGCTGTTACATTCCTCCACTTAGTACTGGTTGATGCCCTGAGAGCAGTGTAGGTGCCTCCAGATCTTCTTACTCCTCCAATGAGAGGGGTGACAGCTGTGCTTGTGGCATCAGTTCCACAGTCCCTGTACCCAGAAGGTGGTGATTCCCTATGGAAGATGTAATGCTCAGTCAGACGGGTGGTGGCCCAAACCTCTGGGCTCTCCTGCTTGACACTGCAAGTGGTAGGCGTTCCTGTCCTCCTCTGTCCAGAGTAAGCAGTTGGTGATCTGGTCCAACTAAAGGTCCTAGTAGTGGACCCTGGGCACCTTCCAATGGCACTTCTATGAGCAGGTGGTGAGCCCTTACTATAGATACAACTGCTGGCACTGACTGACACTCTTCTCTCTGCACTGTTGGAAGTGCTGCTGGTGGTAGTAGTAGTTACAGAACTCCCAGGTCCTGTGGCAGCAGGTGGTGACCGTTCCTTACAGATGCAGGAATCATTCAGTGAGGTGCAAGCTCCAGTAGTGTTGCTGTTGCCAGTAGTAGCTGTACAGTAGTCTTTGGGTCTTAGGCTCCTCTGCCTGCTGCTGCTGTCAGCTGTAGGTCCTCTGCCATCAGCTAGGCAGTGCCAGTCCCTGTGCTGTAGCCTCCACTCTCTGGAACTGATGGCAGGAGTAGTTCCAGAGGTACAAATACCAGTCTGGCAGGTGCTGCCTCTGAAACTATTCGTTGCACAGTCTCTAGGACCAGGCAGGCAAGTGCTGCCCCTGGTAGTGGTTGCAGAGTCCTTAGGACCAGTCTGGCAGGTGCTGACTCTGATGGTGGTAGTAGCTGCACAGTCCCTGGGATCAGCTTGGCAGGTGCTGCTTCTACTAGTAGTAATTGCAAAGTCCCTGGAATCAGTCTGGCAGGTGCTGCCTCCAAGGATAGTAGCTGCACAGTCCCTAGGACCAGTCTGGCAGGGGCAGCTTCCGATGATAGTAGTTGCACAGTCCCTAGGACCAGTCTGGCAGGGGCAGTTTCTGAAGATGGTAGTTGCAGAGTCCTCAGGACCAGTCTGGCAGGGGCTGCCTCCGATGATAGTAGTTGTACAGTCCCTAGGACCAGTCTGGCAGGTGCTGCCTCTGATGGTGGTAGTAGTTGTACAGTCCCTAGGACCAGTCTGGCAGGGGCAGCCTCTGATGATAGTAATTGCAGAGTCCTCAGGACCAGTCTGGTAGGGGCAGCCTCCGATGATAGTAGTTGCAGAGTCCTCAGGACCAGTCTGGCAGGGGCAGCCTCCGATGATAGTAGTTGCAGAGTCCTCAGGACCAGTCTGGCAGGAGCAGCCTCTGATGGTGGTAGTTGCACAGTCCCTAGGACCAGTCTGGCAGGGGCTGCCTCCGATGATAGTAGTTGCAGAGTCCTCAGGACCAGTCTGGTAGGAGCTGCCACTGATGATAGTAGTTGCAGAGTCCTCAGGACCAGTCTGGCAGGGGCAGCCTCCGATGATAGTAGTTTGCACGGTCCTTAGGACCAGTCTGGCAGGGGCAGCAGCCTCTGATGATAGTAGTTGCACAGTCCCTAGGACCAGTCTGGTAGGGGCTGCCACTGATGATGGTAGTTGCACAGTCCCTAGGACCAGTCTGGTAGGGGCTGCCACTGATGATAGTAGTTGCACAGTCCCTAGGACCAGTCTGGTAGGGGCTGCCACTGATGATAGTAGTTGCACAGTCCCTAGGACCAGTCTGGTAGGGGCTGCCACTGATGATAGTAGTTGCAGAGTCCTCAGGACCAGTCTGGCAGGGGCAGCCTCTGATGGTGGTAGTAGTTGCAGAGTCCCTAGGACCAGTCTGGCAGGGGCAGCCTCCGATGTGCAGCTCTCTCCTCCTGTTGGATCTCAGCATGATTGTGAACTGTGCAGCTTCTCCAGCTCCCTGTCCACCTCCCCTCCCTCCATCTCCCCCTCCCAGCCAATCCGACATCAGGAGAGGAAGGAACCAGCCTCATAACCCCGCCCACCTGTCACACATTTCTCTGCCAGCGCTGATCATCGGGCAGAATAGTGTGTGAACCGAACTCAAGTGACGTCATCGAGCAACATACCTATCCAATGTGCTGCCTGACCTCTGCCATCCACTGCTGACGTCACACGGAGCTGCTGATTTACTAAAGGGGACATTTTCATCAAACGATTTCAATCGTACTTGAACTCATCCAGAGAGAAGAAAGGGATGTGATTGGACTGCCTTCATTGTAACCAAAATGGAAAGTTTGCCATTCTGTTATGTGATGGATATTCAGCCTTGTCACAAAGGAAGAACCTTGGCTAGGACCCCCGGATCACAATGAGGGGACAGGGACGGCAGCACTGAGACCATACAAAACAAATTGGGTAGGTCTACTACTCTCCAGCAGTGGTCTGCCTTAACATTCACATGTCCAATGCAAGGCTATGGACTCTGCATTGTGCTTAATGACATCAGAAGACCTGCAACGTCTGTGTCAGGACTGCAGGAGCTGGGGTCGCCACCTCATCCCTTTAAAACTGAACACATATTAATCCGCCACAGAGCCTATGTAATTATGTGTTCGGTTTTAGAGGGATGAGGAGGCAATCCTAGTAGGGACCCATCTTAGGCTTCCTTCAGACAGGTGGCAGTGCTGTAAACCACCCTCTAAAAAGCTATCCACTTTGGATTGCTTTTCAGAGGGTGATATAATGGTGTCTGACAGGCATTCAAGAGCCTCTTGAACCTGTTTTTTTTTCTCAATGGGTGAGTTTGACAGGTGGTGCCACCTAATATACTCTGAAGCAAATCATTGCAGCCATCCATTGCATGTGTACAAACCTGTCAGGCTGTAATGATAGCATTCAGGTGGGCGGCCAGGGGGTAGCAAAACTGTGGCTCAATAGCTTTTTTCCAGCTGCCCGTGTAAAAGAGCCCTTACAGTCTAGCCTGTGGGGAGTGGATATCAGGTAATAAAACAGCTTTTTCTGCTCCCTAGACCCAATTAAGCAATTGTAGGGAGCAGCCCCCCAGTTTTATTTTCCCTGTGTGATGTCTAGGAGCACAGAGAGAGCACACAAATGCAAATCACATGAACCCGGTCGATGCAGGGGCATATCTACCACAAGGCAAACAAGACATTTGCCTAGGGCGGCATTTTTAAAGGGGGCAGCACCGCCCTTCGGTAGAAGGGATGGAAGAAGGAACACACAGCATGGGGACCGGCTGGGATCCAAGAGAGGCTGTGAGCTGCTTGATGGTGTATGCAGTGCCCAACTCTTGTTCCCGGGAATGTCTGGAGCTGTGAAGGTGAGTGTCACTCTCTCGCCAGGGTGGCCAATGTATTAGGGGGCGGTGGTAGTAGAAGACTCTCTCAGGTGGGGGGGGCTGGGTGTTTTTGGTCAGGCTCTCTTCCTGGGGGAGGGGGGTGCTGGTCAGGGTCATGGTCTCTCCGTGGGGGGGGGAGCCAAGTTATGTGTTGCCTAGGGCAGCACGAAACCTAAATACACCGCTGGGTGGATGTGCAGGTGTTTTGAGGAACTTGGGTGTACAGGAGGGGCGGCAATAGGACACAGCCCAGAGACGGTCCATGGGGTAGCAATAGGACACAGCCCAGAGACGGTCCATGGGGTAGCAGTAGGACACAGCCCAGAGACGGTCCATGGGGTAGCAGTAGGACACAGCCCAGAGACGGTCCATGGGGTAGCAGTAGGACACAGCCCAGAGACGGTCCATGGGGTAGCAGTAGGACACAGCCCAGAGACGGTCCATGGGGTAGCAATAGGACACAGCCCAGAGACGGTCCATGGGGTAGCAATAGGACACAGCCCAGACGGTCCATGGGGTACCAATAGGACACAGCCCAGAGACGGTCCATGGGGTACCAATAGGACACAGCCCAGAGACGGTCCATGGGGTAGCAATAGGACACAGCCCAGAGACGGTCCATGGGGTAGCAGTAGGACACAGCCCAGAGACGGTCCATGGGGTAGCAGTAGGACACAGCCCAGAGACGGTCCATGGGGTAGCAGTAGGACACAGCCCAGAGACGGTCCATGGGGTAGCAGTAGGACACAGCCCAGAGACGGTCCATGGGGTACCAGGACACAGCCCAGAGACGGTCCATGGGGTAGCAATAGGACACAGCCCAGAGACGGTCCATGGGGTAGCAATAGGACACAGCCCAGAGACGGTCCATGGGGTAGCATAGGGGTAGCCCAGAGACGGTCCATGGGTAGCAGGTACAGCCCAGAGACACCATGGGGTAGCAGTAGGACACAGCCCAGAGACGGTCCATGGGGTAGCAGTAGGGTCCATGGGGTACACAGCCCAGAGACGGTCCATGGGGTAGCAGTAGCACACAGCCCAGGGA